GTAGGGTGTACAGCGTACACTATAGTCTATAGCACACAGGAGTATTAGGTTATTATGTACACCTTGTTAAGTTGTCTTGTGGTAACTAACGAATTGAACCAATGAGATTTATATTTCAAATATGACAAAATGCTGATTTTACAGCACCAAAATTATTGTATCGCTACAATTTAGACATTTAATAAGCCCTCTGCCTTGCACTGTGAAGCACTGACATCCCATCCAGGGTCTACGGTTTGGTGTTTGTCTTCTTCCAGTTTGCTATTTGCCTGTTATTCAAGTCGGTTATCTTTGAGGACATTTTGAGTTTTGCTTGTAACACCATCCCACTAAATATGTCATTCTGAAATATGTGTCTGTATGTTTTTAAATATTATTCTATCTGCTTTGTAATTTTCCTTTTCTTAAAATAACTGAGACCTTTGCTTGTTACAGAAAATAATCCAATGGCTTCCAATCAGACTTCCGCTGAGAACGTAAGCCATGTTTCATGTGTACCTTTCATTAAATATTAACTTTGGTTAATAAACTTTGGTTTGCCTTTCTCGCTGAGGAAACATATTTGTTGAAGTTGAGAGACAGTGAATGGCAGCGGGATTGTCATTAAGGACACCACGCAGCATGAGCCTCCGCTGATTCCAAAACAACAAAGATCAGATGCATCTGTTAAGAATCTAATGAAGTTTCCTAGGACTTCATGATTCTGTCCCTGTAGACCTGCTCTTTATGCCAGTTCTTGTTCCGAGCTCTTGCTTACATAGACCTAACAGGTGTTGATGACATTCTGACTTATGAAGACTGATTGTATCTGTGTGACCATGTGACTAATGTTCGCTTTCATCACTGCTCCATGGGGATCTCAGCCAGCTGCTTCCTCAGCCAATCAGAATCTTGCAGTCCGGGTGAAGACGGAACCCGATGATGAGGTGTGTCTCGTACGGCCTGCCCAGTCTGTCTTTGTCTGCTGTCATTATGAGAATCGGTACATATCGTTGGTGTCCGATGTAAACAGCATCCACTTTTTGATGAATGTGGGACTTTTTACTATAGATGAAATGTCTATTCTCCTGTCTACTGATAGCATTTAACATGTAATTGAGTAATGAAAAGATGTTTTATGAAGTCAGTCATTTTACTGGTATTTATGCTTATACTAGTTAACATTTGTATTCATGACGGTCGTATGTATGGATTAC